TATTTATTTATTTATTTGCTTGCTTACTTACTTATTTATTTTCTTATTTACTTTTTAGCTTTACATTTTCTTCCACAGAGCTCAGCGGTCTGCAAACCTCTTCCTTAAAGGGCCATATTTTAGGCTTTGAGGGCCACGCAGTCACTGTGGCAACGCTTTACCTGCCATCGTGATGACAGAGCAGCCACGGATAAGGTGTGTTTGGAATGAGAGCGGCTGTCTTCTAATAAGACTTGACCGACAATGAAATGTAAATTTCACATAATTTTCACACGTCACAACATATTTACTCTTCCTTTGAATTTTTCCAACTGTTTAAAAATATAAAAACCATTCTCGGCTCAGTGAGTGGTGGGGGGGACATACAAAACTAGGTGGCGGGCTGGGTTCGTCTCACTGGTTGTACTCTGCAGACCTGTGAGATGACTAGTTAACCTAAAACACCTACATGGATTTTTATTGGTGAGGCAGTGAATATAGCTGTTGGAGAACATCTTGCCGTATATGACATTTTCCTTCAACTAGGTTGACTTTGGGTGTGCTGTTAATTATGCCCGCTCTGGATTCAGGAATCGCAGGCTCAAGTGCTGTCAGATTTTAAAGAGAAAACAACACTAACAACAACAAAAATAGGAAGTCATTGGAAGTGGTTTAATAGGGCTGGAGCGATTGGAGTAAAACGCGGCAGCCTCACCTCATTCAAAAGGTCTTTACTTTCTTTTTATCAAAAATGTGCTACCTAAATAAAATACATTCACAGCTGAGATTCAATGAGGTTGCAACTCCCGAGCTAGATGATCTAGCTCTGTCAGTCTCTGAGTCTTGGAATCTAATAGGGACATGGAAGGTGACAGTCTCCAGATAGAGATTCCTCTGGGAAAGTACCACTGGGCACTGTTTGCAAATGACAGTGGCAGGATGATGGTATAATGAGGGGAGGAAAACCTTAGACGTGACGTCTAGCTATTGGGTATGGTGCCGGTTCTGCTCATGGGATCTGTGACCTCGGAAAGTCA